TACAACGATCTAGGTGATGTACAGTATTAGAATACGTATGTATTACAAAATTCTAGGTGATGTACAGTATTAGAATACGTATGTGTTACAAAGTTCTAGATGATGTACAGTATTAGAATACGTATGTATTACAACGATCTAGGTGATGTACAGTATCAGAATACGTATGTGTTACAAAGTTCTCGGTGATGTACAGTATTAGAATACGTATGTATTATAAAGTTCTAGGTGATATACAATAGTAGAATACGAATGTGTTACAAAGTTCTAGGTAATATACAGTATTATAATACGTATGTGTTACAACGTTCTATGTGATGTACAGTATTGTAATACGTATGTGTTACAAAGTTCTAGGTGATGTACAGTATTAGAATACGTATGTGTTACAAAGTTCTAGGTAATGTACAATACTAGAATACGTATATGTTACAAAGTTCTAGGTAATGTGCAGTATTGAATTGTGTATATAGGACAACATTCTCGGTAATGTACAGTATTAGAATACGCATGCATTACAAAGTTCTAGGTGATGTACAGTATTAGAATACGTATGTGTTACAAAGTTCTAGGTGATGTACAGTATTAGAATATGTATGTGTTACAAAGTTCTAGGTAATATACAGTATTATGATACGTATGTGTTACAACGTTCTAGGTGATGTACAGTATTAGCATACGTATGTGTTACAAAGTTCTAGGTGATATACAGTATTATAATATGTATATGTTACAAGGTTCTAGGTAATATACAGTATTAGAAAACGTATATGTTACAATGTTCAAGGTAACATACTGTATTAGCATACGTATGTGTTACAAAGTTCTAGGTAATATACAGTATTAGAAAACGTATGTGTTACAAAGTTCTAGGTAATATACAGTATTGGAATACGTATGTGTTACAAAGTTCTAGGTAATATACAGTATTATAATACGTATGTGTTACAACGTTCTAGGCGATGTACAGTATTAGCATACGTATGTGTTACAAAGTTCTAGGTGATATACAGTATTATAATATGTATATGTTACAAGGTTCTAGGTAATATACAGTATTAGAAAACGTATATGTTACAATGTTCAAGGTAACATACTGTATTAGCA